CTAAACCCCAAACTCAAAAGCTTAAGCTGAACCCGCAACCCCTAAACCCCACAACCACACCACAATGGGAATAGTAGACTCAGTAGACCATGGACCATGCGGGGACGGGGAGGGCCGCGGAGCTCCCTACTAACTATATATATATATATATACACCTGTATGTATATACATACATACAAATGCGCATACGCAAATGCAACTCTGTATTACTGTATCTATGCGTACATGTATCTGTACATGTGCCTGTACACTACACATGATATGGTTTTCGTGGCTTCAGTCCACCCTGCTCTCCCCTCGCCTGCCGTGGTGTGGTTCCGATGCGGTTTTAGGGTTCAGGGTTTAGGGTTTCGGTTTTGAACACGGTGCAGGTGGGGGGGGGAGTTGGGGTGCGGGAGGGGTATCGACAGTAAGTGTTTTGTTCTGGGACTCGGGATCCTTTACCATAGTGTGCCTTGTGTGTGTGTGTGTGTGCGTGTGCGTGTGTGTGTGTGTGTAGATCTTTCATGTGTATATACACGTATATTCGTATATACGTGTATACAGATATATGTATGAATATGTATCCACACAGACATAGAGTCCATAGGGTGCTTACCAATATACAACCCTAAACCGTAAGCCCAGTACATACTGAAGCAAGAGATTCATTTTGCCCGACACGCCGAGGACCAGGAAAAAGATGAGCGCATCAGGTGAGCCACGGCATAAGTCTTCATTTTTTAGGGTTCAGGGTTTCTAAGACCGGTAAGAGTGATAGTATACAGTGTATAATATACCGTATATCTAGTAATATATAGGATATGTAACGTAATATATAATATATAACAACTTGTTTTTACCAGTCAGTACTTCAGGTTGCTTGTAGAGTTTCTACATGGTTTACCAGGGCTGAGTGTCTGGGAGGTTCCGGTTTGTGATTGAGAGCCTAATTCAAGTTCTACTTCAAGGACCAGGGGACTTACTTTAACAGAATAAGGGTTTGGATTTTCCCGATACCTGGTAGAAGCTACAATGTTGTGGCTTTTGGCAAGCCCTGCTCACCTATAAGTAGTTATATCCCTCCTTGTACCTGCCCATGAAACTTCAAGCATTGTTTAGGGCTCAGAGGTTAAAGGTGCCCAAGACCTTAAATGCTCAACCATTCTGCCAGCCTAGGTCTTCAAAAACATGAAAGACCATGCAATGTGTGCACCCCCATGATACCAGAAAACCACGACGACCACCAAGACGAGGACGACCACGATAACCGAAGCCTCCACAAAGACCACCTGGACCCCACGACGACCACGACTACTAGGACCACCAGGGCCACCACCACCAGAAGCTGTGCAAGCACTCTGAGAAGCCCCGGCTTGTCGTTCTGCATCTTGTCGAATCCCTGAGCCCAAACTCCTAAACCCATGTAATCGAGCGCAGTCAACCAATGTTTATTTGGGCTAGTGCACCCTCGTTGTAACATGTGGGTTCAGTGGATCAGGGCATAGGGTTCAATAAAGCAAAACCGTATCCTCCACACCACTGTGCCACAAGCAGGTGAGAAGGAGGTCGTGGATCTGCGCCCCGATGAAGACTTTCCGGTTTTTAACCAAGGCGGGTTATCATTGAGTTATGGAGACTCTTGAATCTTGCGGATGCCCTTCGTGTGTGATTGAAACAAAAAGGGTCATACCTTTGTGGAACCTACAATGGACTTAGTCTCGAAATTCCCAAAGGAGGCTGAAGGATTAGATCGGATTCCTTGAGAGACCATGCGCGCAGGCTTCGGGCCTAAGGTTTAGTGTTCAGCGTCTCGGTTTACGGTGTGCAAGCGCAGTAGTTTCGAACATGTGAAGCCATATTTCGCCAAAACCTGACATCCTGCGAATTACACACTGAATCCACAGAAAGCCCCATAGAGTGCACGAATCCTGCAGGAGACCGACAAAACAAGAAGCCATGGAGGCCTGAATCCCGACAACATCAAACCGTGAATCATATGGTTTTATCAACCACGTTAGCATTAACACGAACATGATTTTGAACAGGAAAGCTAACATTTCTCAGGAACAGTAACAATAAGTTTAACGTTAACATGAACATGAACGGTATCATTAACAGAGGCATTAGCACTAACATTCACATTTAGAATAGCATGAACATCCTGCTTACTGCCAGCACATGCATGAAGAATAGATGGGCATGGACAATAGCATTAACATTCGTTTTTAACATCAGCATTAACAGCAAGGTTAACATTGCTATTGACATTAACATTAATATAGGCCTTAACAGTAGCAAGCAGAAGCTTGACCTTAACATCAAGAATAGTATCAACACCATCATTGGCATTACCAATAAACAAAGCTTGAACATGTTCAGTAGCAGTAGCACGTGTAGTCTATATAATCAGCATTTCACGCGCACTCACGTTAGCATCAGCAGCTGCATTAACAGCACTAACCTTCAGCATGATCTTCAGCAGAAACATTAACGATAGCATTAGCATCAGCACTAGCACCAACGCCTGCACCGATAAATACTTTTCGACATGCAATGTCTAATGCTTGCATCAGTAGTAGCATCAACCGCCAGCATCAGCAATAATAACATTCACTTCAACATCAACAGCTATCATCGTAATCAGATTTTCAACCAAACTTCCTGAACCCTAAACGCTAAACCCTAACCCTGGTTCTCTTGATCCATCAAGCGCCCCGCTGGGAGAGGGAACCTGGGCAGCTGCACGGCCAATGCTTTGGCAGCTGCCTTCCACTTCACGGTCCACAAGATGACGGTGGAGGAGTGGGGGTTATTGATTTAGGGTTTAGGGTTTAGGGTAGGGTTCGGGGAGATATCCAAGTATACACCAAAGAGGGGATGGCATCACTGGTTGTTACGGCCTCTGACTTGCACCCTGAAGCTAACGTCGAAAGCTTCCCAAAGACTGAACTGAGCTCCTGAACCCCTGTACCACTGAACCTGCAAAGCATCAACAACGGCGAAGGTTTTGAGTTTGACACCGCATGACCTGAGCACCCGCTCACTGAGACTGCCGGGGCCAGCAAGGACCATGCTGACTTTCGCGATTTCACTCCGAGCCGCCTGTTGCCTGGACGAAAGAGGTTTAGGGTTTAGGGTTAGGGTTTAGAGTTTGATTTTCTTGCGCTTGGAGAACCGGGAGGTGTGCTAAGTCGGTCCTCTCTATACTGTAGTTTGTCCTGTATTCTAGTTGCTGAGTTCCCCGATCCTTCAACTGGAGGCTGGCAGAAGCAAGGGGCCATAATAATCTCAGTGACAGGAGCACTCGAAATGACAGCATCACTTGTAACCACCATCATCGCAGAAACGGAGAAAGCACCACTGCCAGCAGGAGCATAAACACAGAACGCGCGGCAACCGCAAAACACAACTACTGCCAGAGGCGGTTTGTCTCAGGATGCATGACCAGCTGCAGCTTTCATAACTAAACCCTAAACCCTAAACCCTGGGCTTGGGGCTCCAAACATTCAAGGGCATCGAACTGGAAATGCATAATGCTAGGATCCTAACCCCCTGAACCCTAAACCTAGACCCGAAACCCTAAAGCATAACCACCCAAACCCAGAACCTTCATTCAACGCTGGGCCATGCACAGGCAACCTTTTCGTCCTCTACAAAGATCCTCGCAAGTACTCGAGCTCTCAACAACTAACATAGGACATTGGGGTCTGAATAGTTCGCCATAACATGCCCCTATATCAACAGTCCCTTTCTATGCATACTATCATACCCGCAAAAGGGGTAGTCTAAGTTTTAAAGCTGAAAGTCTCTAAGGTTCATCTACTACAACGAGCGGTACGTCGAGGGTTTTGTCAGATGGGACATCGGCGGCATGCTCCGCGATGGTATCAAGGCCGGATGGGCTTGAGGACAGAAGTTAAGGTGTAGTGCTGCGATTTCACAGCCGCTGAGCTGCGTAGAGTGTTTCGGGATTGCAGAGACTCACAAGACCGGAAACCCTAACATAGTAGGCGTAATAATTATAGAATAGGGTTTGGGGGAATATTGTACCATCGTCCTAATAAGGAGCCCCTCCAAAATCAAATAGCATTGTTCATTATTTAGGCCTTTGCACTAGCACCTATCTAAACCCTATAGTGGCCGGTGGCTCTATAGATCCTAAGACTCCAATATCCCTTAATTAAGGAATATACCTTAAATCTCGATAGGGATTCTACTATAATTTAAGGTATATTCCTTAATTCTTATAGTACCCTTATAGAAACCCTTATAGATCCCCTGAACTCCTACTCTCTTCTTGACTGCGATAAACCCTAAACCCCAAACCGTAAACCCTAAACCCCAAACCCTAAACCCCAAACCCTAAACCCCTAAACCCTAAACCCTTAATCCCAAAACCACTAAGCCCTCGACCTCTTCTCTTCTTGACTGCTTGGAGGTTCATGGGTAGTTATAAGCGGAGTTATAAGTCCCCTAATATAGGTTATAATTATAGTTACCCTACTTACAACCCTACTTACAACTACCCATCCCTAAACCCTAAACCCTAAACCCTAAACCCTAAACCTCCAAGTGCTGGCCGCTGCCCTCGACCAGACCATGGCTCGGGTCGGAGTTTGCCCCGAAAAAGTCTGGACGCACCACGGCTTAGGGTTTAGGGTTTAGGGTTTAGGGTTTAGGGTTTAACCCTAAACCCTAAACCCAGATTCGGGTTCAGGGATCTTTCACGGTTTAGGGGTTTAGGGAAGTTTAGGGATTAGAGATTAGGGTTTAGGGAAGTTTAGGGATTAGAGATTAGGGTTTAGGGGTTTAGGGTTCAGGCTTTAGGGTCTAGGGATCTTTTACGGTTTTGTTTTGGGGGTGTTTTGGTTTGGGGGTTCAAGCGCACAACTCAACGCAACGAGAGCTTAAATTGAAAGTTCTAAGGCACCTCTTCTTGTCTACACCGAATACCGGTGTGCCTTGTATGTCGCAGTTTGGGGTTGCTCAAATGACACAGCTCCTCGTGGGCCTGAACCCCAGAAAATGAGATGAACTACCTGTACATCTGCCGGCCTTTGCTGGTGTCCTCCCGCGCGTATCCATCCCTCCTTTCCGTGAGGAACGGCTTCGAGCTTAAGCTTCCGGGCTTCAGGGAAGTTTAGGGTTTGCATGGAGGGTCTAGGGTTTGTTCCGTTTAGGGTGGCCAGGTTGCAGTTTAGGGTGGGCCAGAGCGGGTGGATACCCTTTGCACGGGGGCACTGGGAGCGCAGGGCGCGGGAGCTGATGCGATGCTAGGCTCTCACGTTCGTCTTGTCTTGTTAAGACCTACCTGTAGTCTCCATTGCAGTTCCTTTTTGGTGATACCTTATAGAATTCTTAAAAAAATATTTAGTTAAACCAAAAAGAGGAACTACAATGGAGACTGTAGGTAGAGTAAAGTATTAACCACGTGGAGACTCCGAACTGTGGTCCCCTGGTTCCGTGCCTGACTATGCTCTGAAAGGGCCTTTGGCTGTTCAAGGTACGAAAACATCTCGGAGAAGTTCAAGCAGGAGCCAGACTGGTTTTGCTACGAGCTTGCCAAGACGCTCGGCCGGAATCCGCCCCTTTCTCCCTAAGCCATAAACCGTAAACCCTAAACCCCAAACCTTATAGCCCTAAACCCTATAACCCTAAA